GCAAGTCACTTCATTTCTCTGGAACTCATTTTCCTCATCTGTCAATCAAAAGGGTTGAGCCAGGTGACTTGTGAGGTTCCTTCAAGCACATGGGCCTTTAATCACTGCCAAGGACCAAGTGCAGTGGCTTACTCAAGGATTACAAAATCCTTGCCATTGGAAAGAATGAAGGTGAAGCTGTGTGATCTCTTGAGGAATTCTGAGCTGAAATAGGCCTATTGTGTGTCCACATTAAGTCCAGCACCAATATGGTTAGTGCCGGGAAGGGGGCACCAGGCTGCTTAAGGAGTGTCAAACAGGCCTGGGTAGTGAAAAACTGAGGACAAAGCTCCCTTGCTTATCAGTGGTGGGGTCATTCCCTGAGTAAACATTGAACTTTCAGCCTCCTCAAGATAAGGAGACCCAGTCTTAGAAAGAAAAAGAAAGAAAAAAAGAAGAGAAAAGAAAAATAACAGCCTAGGAGGATTATTCTTTAAACCACGCCCAACTTTGCTGTGAGGGCACTCTACCTTAAACATAGATTTCTGTATTTTAAGTCAAGCAAAAGCTCCATTTATTTATTTTATTTTATTGCCCCTTTAAATGACAAGGTCTTTAGGTAAAGTTGTTTTAGGTGGCTTCATATTGTTTCTCCTTCAAAGAAACCTTACCAAAATATGTTTGGATTGTGCTCTTAGGGTTTTGTGAAAAGCCCATTCTTTCTTTCTTGCAATTAGAGTGTATATACTGCAACAAAAACAGACTAACTTTTCCAGGAGCATTTTCCATTCAAAAACCTCAAAGGACCTTGAACTGTATTTGTTTGTTTTCATGAGAGAGGGAAAGAAGAAGGAAATCTATTTTCTTTGCTCCATCCATTTAGATAAAAGAAACAGATAAAAAGCGTGTCTTTTCTACCGTAATTTTTGTTAAATAAAAAGGAAATAAGTCAGATAACTTCAAAATGGGCGGTTTTAGCAGCCAAGCAAAGCCAATGAAGACCTGTTATTTTAAAAAGCTATATTTAGACTTCCTAAATTTTTTTTTTGAATTTTGGCCAACTGTATTATCAACATTTCCTTTGATCCATTATAATCTGCAAAATGACTCCTGAGGGATCCATAAATCTTCAGATCATTCACTTGCTAAAAATCCCTCAGAAATCATTTTGATGACTAAAATGAGTACAGGCAGTCAGAGTAACACATGCTGAATGATATAGTGCAAGCTTTTATGATACTTTCCCTTTCAAATACCCAGAAGGGCAAAGCAGCTTCAAAAACAAGTTATCTGGGAGGGAGTGAGGGAGGAAGAAAAGGAAGTGGGATAGAGGGAGGGAAGAAGGGAGAGAAGAAAGGAGGAAACCCATAAAACTTTAGCAAATAAATGTGTGTCCCTGGGGAATTAGCTGAATTGATTATCTGAGACTGAGCTGATCAATTAGAACTTTGATTTAAAAAAAAAAATCTCTGTGCCCCAGAGTGAATTTCCTTGTGCTACTGTCTTCCTCTTTATAATTGACCTGTATTCATTTAGCCTCATTATTTCACAGTTTACACCATAGGATCACGGTATAATAACTGAAAAATGACCTTAGGGGACATCTAGTTCAAATCCCTCACTTTATATAGGAGAGAACTAAAGCCAAAGGAAGCTAAGTGATTTGCTCAAGGTCACACTGATAGTAAGCAACAGAGATAAGATTTGAACTCTGGTCCCTTAATTCAAAAGTCAGTGCTCTTTTCATAAATCTATACTGTTTCTTAATCAAAAGACTCACATCAGACCTCAGTTCCATCAGTGGTGCTATTAGATGAAAAGGCTAGAAAGTGAGCCCAAAGTTAGAATGAGTTAAAAAAAAGGATAAATCTTGATACCTTAATGGAAAAAGAGGTAAAAACCTTTCAAGTCTTGGCTCAGAATAATACAATTTTGCTTGGATTGGCTAGACTGAATGAATTGAGTGGAATTGATAGTGTGTTAATTCACCTTTATTTTTGAGTTTGGGAGAAGAAAACAGATAATGTGTTTGGCATAAGAGGCAGCACTTAGAGTAAAAGGTCTTGGCTTAAATCCCACCTCTGATGCTTGCTACTTGTGTTACATTGGACAAGTCACTTACCCTCCCTTGGTTTCACACTCCTCACTTATAAAATGAAGGGGCTGTATTCGATGGTCTCTGTGGTCCCTTCCAACTCAACATCTAGAATCTGGATGAAGGACCCTTTTAGAAGCATGTATTAGAAGTATTTTTGAACTTGTTCTATTTAAATTCCTTCTAATAATCTTAGGTGTTATGATAATAACTAACATTTATAAAATAGTTTAAAGCTTTCAAAGTTCTTTGCATATGGTATCTCATTTGGTCCTCATAACAACCCTGGGAAGTAGATGCAATTACTATCCCCATTGTTTTTCAGATAAGGATGTGAGATTGAGAGGTTATGTGATTTGTCCATATATGATTTGCCCAAGGAGTTATATGGCTAATAAATGTCTAGGGCAGGATTCCAACTCATGGATTCCTAATTCCAAGACCAATGCCCTATCCACTGCACCACTTAGCTGCCACACACTATTCCCTGCTACTTCTGTTAAAGTTCTGTGTTGTTGTCTGATTATGGCAAGGAGATGATCCTGGGTTCTCAAAATCAATGCCAGTAGAGCACAGACTTTTGCAGGTTATACTACACTGACAGGGCTTTGAGCCCAAGACCCAAGAGCAGAATGTGTGTCTTCATTAAAGAGTACTTAGAGCAGATTATCTAAATGGGAAGAAGTTCAGTATCAGTAGATTGACCACTAGATGATTTGTTATTATTTCTTCTTTTATTTGGCCAAAGCAATTCATGCATCTATTAACACATGAAGAGGTGGAGAAAGAAGGGGCAATGCAGTCTCTGTTGTTGAAGTGCTCACCCAGATCCTTTCAGGTGTCTTAAGTATGTTATCATCCTAATGTTCCAAAAGTGAACCATGAGGAAATGTAATTTCTCACCTGATGACTTTCCATCTCTTCTTTGATTCCTCCAAGGAGTGCCAATCATCAGATCAGTCAATCAAACATTTAGAGCTAGAAGGGACCTTCGAGGCCATCAAATCCAACCCCCTCTCCTTTTATAGATGACAGAGCTTGCCCAGGGTCACACAGATAGTATGTGTGAGCAAGATTTGGACTCAGGTCTTCTTGATTCCAGATCCAAGACTTACACTGTGTCATCTAGTTGCCTTTACTGGCATTAAGGCTGATCACAAAAAGCAGATTGCTTGTTTTCTCCCTAAAAATTCAGCTGTGTGCACATAATAGCAGGCATTTAAAGAGCTGAATGTTTTGAATGTTCATTTCTTATTTAGGAAAAAAAAATTGCCAGAAATGAATTACTCCTAAGGAAGTCTGGCTGAGAGAGAGTGAACTGTGTATGTAGCTGAGGTCATGATGGAGTTTTTGATTGCAAAAACAGAACCCTAAATTCACTTAATCAATTGTGCTTTTAGAAAGATTGACATCACAACAACGGCCTATGGGTAGAGTTAGCATTGCTAACTTAAAGAAACTATGGTGTTCTCATGGGAAAGAATGCTATCTCTAAGCAGGAAAATGGAACAACTTGCCCAAATCTATAGCACTTTTTTTCTTAAAATGTTTCAATCTCCAGCCTGTTATTGTACCAGGTCACCATAGCTTTTTCAATATCCTAAATCTGTATTTCTCCAGACATTTTTCCTGTCCCCCATTCATCTTTCTATGCTGTATAATCTTCAATTTATTCTCGATCTCCTTAACCCAGTTGTAAGGCTATAAATTGGCCAGCCATACTCCGCCACGGGAGAATATGTGTGTGAGACTTGCTTGTGTATCCATGATATGATTCACCCTTTGTGTACATGACTAAATAAAGATGCTTTGGTTAAGCCACAAAAATGCAGAATAATAAATTAACTAGTTGTTAGGTTGTTGTTGGTGGTGGTGATTGCTAATGATTTATACCGTGTTCCCTGATAACAGGGACTAGATCTGTGATTTTATTGGTAGAGGGAACTGCCTGGTTGAGATGGAGGTCAGTACCCTTTTCATTTTTTTTTCTTTTTTTCCCCACTTAATAGTATTTTTTTCCAATTACATGTAAAGATAGTTTTCAACATTCACTTTTACAAGATTTTGAGTTCCAAATTGTTTCTCCCTCCCTCCTTCCCTTCTCCCCTCCCCAAGATGTCAAGCAATCTGATATAGATTATACATGTAAAATCATATTAAATGTGTTTCCACATTAGTCATATGAAAGAAGAATCAGAACAAAAGGGAAAAATGATGAGAAAGAAAAAACAAAAAAATGTGAAAATAGTATGCTTTGAAATGTATTCAGACTCCATAGTTCTTTCTCTGGGTGTCAGCACCCTTTTCTATGGCTTATAATCTTAGAAAGTTGCCCAGTATCCTGAAAATTTACCCAAGGTCACACTTAGTATGTGTCAGAGGTGGAACTCAACTCCCAGACCAGCAGCTCATGCTGCTTTTCATGATATGCTTCTTATTAGATGGAATCGGATTCAGAGAATGTAGTGCTCTGTTCTAGGAGTTTACATTTGGCTCCCAAAGAAGGAAGGTGTTAGGGAATGGAAGTGTGGGATGATTGTGAAGTTATTAATGTGCTTGTGGGTGGTGGGAAGGGAGGTTTGTGGCTTTGCAGCTGTCCTTTGTGATATTGATAATACTACGTGGTATATCCCATGTTAATTTAAAAGGCTGAATTTACTTTCTAGTCCTAAGTTGACTCCATATCATTTGAGTCAGTTCCCAGTTAGTCTGCAGTTAGTCTTTAATGGTCAATCAGTCAATAAACATTTATTAAATGCCTGCTATGTGCCAAGAACTGGGGTTACAAAGAAAGGTAAAAGACAGTTCTGACCCTCAAGGAGCTCATGATCTAATGGACTCCTTCCCTTAGGGTAAGGAACCTCAGTCTGGAATGTGTACTATACTCTGTCCCACCATAACCTGAGTCTCCTTTTATGTTTCCAAGGATGGGAGGAGCACCTTTATTGGACACCAACTGGGTGGTGTCGATGTGCCCAACAGCAAAGACCAGCGGGTCAAGTCAGCCAGAGCCATTCAAATCACCTACTACCTCCAGACCTATGGCTCTGCCACTCAAGACCTTATTGGGGAAAAGTGGGAGAGTGAGTTCTGCAAACTGATGAGGAAACTGCAAGAGGAGCACCAGGACTTCCAGCTGTTCTCTCTAGCATCCTTTAGCCTCTGGAGAGACTTTCATAAGACCAGCATCCTGGCCAGGAGCAAGATCCTGGTGAGCCTCATGCTGATCTTGACCACAGCCACCCTCTCCAGCTCAATGAAAGACTGCCTTCGGAGCAAGCCTTTTCTGGGCCTCTTGGGTGTGCTGACAGTTTGCATCTCCAGCGTAACCGCGGCAGGGATATTCTTCATCACTGATGGAAAATACAATTCCACCCTCCTGGGCATCCCTTTCTTCGCAATGGGTAATTATCCCTCTTTATCATGATCAGATTTTTTGTGGTTTTGGTGGCAGAGTTTCCAGATAGAATTTAGTCTTTGCATTAGAGTTAGGGGTATTGTTAGGTCTGTTTTAAATCTAACTTTGTATGATTTGTTTGCACTATGGGATACCTTCCACTTATCAAATCATCCCCTTTTAGGCAATAATACATCTTAACAAGTGGCTCCAAACTTATCCTGGTTTAAGGAATGGTACAAGGGACATGTCACTGCCACTGGAGGCAGAGGGACCTAGGTTCATGTGTGGTTTCTGAACCTTACTGTCAATGTGAACTTTTGACAAGTCACTCGCTGATCTTCAGCTTCCTTATCTGCAAAATAAGACAGGCTGGGCTCTGAGCTCCTTTCTGGTTCCAACTGTATTGTTGTATGAAATACCTCCCCCCTTTTAAATAGTTAGCTTGTTTTTAATCTCACCTAAATTTTCCACTATATTCTTCTGTTAACATCTTCCTAGACAGCTAGTTATCCCCTTATGGCAAAGAATAAAAAAGGAATGAGTCAGCTCAGCAAATCTACTCACACGTGAAAAAAGTCTGACCCTATATAGTGTTTGATACATATAGTTTCCTACCCAGGGGTACACTGGTAAATGTTGAGCAACCATCTCTACAAATACGTACATACATATATACATACATACATGCATATATATATATATATATATATATATATATATATACATATATATATATATACACACACATATATATACATATATATTTAAAAGTACACAGAACATACTTTTAAGCATAATCTGCATTCTTAACATTTTTCTCAATTACTTTCTTAAATCTAGACAATCAACAACAGTAAATAAAGCCCTGATGTGTAGCATTTGCCACTTTTCCAAAATATAAAAGGCCACACTGAAAATTTGTGGTCATCTGGCTATCTAAGCCTGTTGAACCTGGTTCCAGAATACCTCTGCCCCCACCTATGCAGTTGTAGGAAAGGAGAGGAAGGACTCCTTCTTCTTTTCTTTTCTTTTCTTTTCTCTTCTCTTTTTTTTTCAACTTTGGAGTCGAAAGATTTTGTGGATCTCCACATTATAGCAATTGTACTATTCCTATATCTGGCAGCTACTTTGCACAGTGGCTAGAACACTGGGCCTGGAGTCAGGCTGGCCTGAGTTCAGATATGACCTCAAATACTTTCTTGCTATGTGACCCTACACAAGTCGTTTAACTTGTTTTCCTCAGTTTCCTTAACAGTAAAATGGCAATATCAGCACCTATCTCCCAGGGTTTTTGTGAGGATTAAGTGAAATATTATTTATAAAGTGCTTATAATAAGCATAGTGCGTATTTCCTTCCCACCCATCATGCAAAAATATAATGGTAAGAGTCTATTTACTATAACAACTTAAAACATTGTCAATCCTTTCTAAAAAATATAATAGGGACTTTCCAACAAATTGCTATGTTAATCTCCTTGCTAGATTAACAATAACATTACATATACTTGAAAAAAAATACATAAAGTATGTATGTGTGTATATATCACTTATGCATATGTGTGTTGTGTGTGTGTGTATAGATAGATAGATAGATAGTATGTCCATGTAATACATATGTATTATTTTGGGGCCCTCGTTACTTCTTCCTCATAAAATGGGGATATTGGTTTATCAGGGATAGGGAACCTGCAGCCTCAAGGCCACACGTGGCCCTCTAGGTCCTCAAGTGTGGCCCTTTGACTGAATCCAAACTTCACTGAACAAAATGATTTTGGGGATTACTTACAGTTTGATTTCTATCCTATAAATTCTGTGCTTGAGACATATCTTTTATTTTGTCCACAGCCAACAGTCTAAAATTAAGTTTGCTTATTTATTAAGATGAGCCATTTAATAATAAGCACCCCTTGCAGTGACCCTGCAGTTACCCTAATGGCAGCCACTAATCCAAAAAAAAATCTGAGACAAAATATTTTCTGTTCTGTTATTTCCCAGATGACAGGTTAAGGGTTATTGCTTTAAAAAAAGCCTGTATGGTTTTTAAATGTTTGTTAGTGATGTGCCCAGTTATGAAAAAATTCATGGAGTTGATACCATAGTATAAAAATGCTTTAGAACCACAGGTCAAGGTCTAACTTATCCTTTAAAATATAAAAGAAGACTTTCAGTAATCCCATTATTCCACTGACCTTGTAGACTGAAAGTGTCCATTCCAACCTAAATTCTTTCTTGCTACCACTTAAAGAGGTTTCCTTCCTTTCTTCCACAATGATTGAGAAGGAATGGTTAGCAGCCTTAATGCTACCCATCCTAAGGGCAGGCTTGTACCAAGCTTTCACTTAAAAGGTATGTCTACAAAGACCCTCATTAATACCTGAGGAAATGGGTGGAGATGGTTGGGTGTTCATGAGTATGTGACTAAAAGGAAGATGGAAGGAAGGAGAAAGGAAGAATTATAGTTCCTGAGCAAGACTGATGGGTCTTATCGTCAAGGTGATTATAGTGCTGATATCTACAGCATTGCAGGAGAGGGTTTGTCAGTTGCCTGTGTGATCTAATCCTCTGTGTGCACAGACTTGGCAACAAATGGTAAAAATGGACTCTGGGTGGCCAAGTGGCATGAGCAGGAGAGAATATAGCTGACAATGAGTAGTTTATACTTCTCCAGGTTAAAATCTGTCATGCTGCTCCCTAAGTTATGTCCTTCAGGACATAACCCATAGTATGCAATGAAAGACTCGGGGGGGGAAAAATGATGGACAGGGATTTTCCAAACCTTTTGGAAAATGTATGTTTCCTGCTTATGGGGAACATTCTTTCTGCAGAAAAGGATGCTTCCAGAAATGTTGGCACTAGGCAGGCAGTGATTATGTATTTAGAACATTTTGTTATGCATAAGGGATTCACTTACATTAAATGAAATATGATGAGAATTCTGAGATGCAACTGGTACCATTCAGCAAAAGGGGCAGGACTGTACTTGGGGGTATAGATTTGTTATCTAAGAGTCCACTGGGGCTCTTTCAAAATCTATGAGTAAGAAAATGAGGCAATGGGAACATTTATCAGGGAAAGGTAGAGTGATACTCTACATACATTTAAGGAACAAAAAAAGTGTCTCTGAGGATGCTACATAATAAAATGTACATTATAAAATTCTGATAGCAGTTTCTCACATTACACCACTGACCTATGCTAGCCTAGAAATACAAGAATGAGATAAATTCCTAGATTCATATAGCTACCTTCTTTCTTATCTCCCAGTGACCAGTTTGATTCTGCAGGCCTGGGGATATGATTCAGCTCTGAGGTATGTTCATTATTGCCCTAGGTTACCCTTAGGATATCTGGAGAACCCTGGGAGATCAAGTCACTTTTAGGCAAAATCAAGGGATTTGGTTTTCCTCCATGAAAAGATAAGCGATCCTAGGTCTCTTAGATTGAATCTGATTAAACTCATTTAAGAATAGATCTTAGCTCCTTGGTTAGCACTGTACCCCCAACCATTATTCATAGGATGATAGATTTGGACTGGAATGAATTTTAGAAGCAATCCTGTCAAACTCCCTCCTTTTATACATGAGAAAACAGACAAAAAGAGCTTAAGTGACTTGCTCAGAGTTGCCCAGCTAATAAGTGTCTAAGAATGATATTTGAACCAAGATCTGCCTGCCTCCAGGTCCACTGTTCTCTCCATTGCCCCGTGCTTCCAAATGTATTGAGATCTAAGAATCTTGCTTCCAAGAGCCAGGATTTTTCTAGATTTAGAGACAAACTAGAACTAGGCTGGTTGACAACCATGAAGATAATATTAGACACCTGCAGCATGCACTCAGTCAAGGTTTTTTTTTTAAACCTTCATTAACAAGTCCATTTCTGAGGGGAGAATATTTTTAGATGCATAAAATTAAATACGTAGTATTATAAAGGAAATTAGTTATACTGAAATGCTCTTATCAAAGTTTTTTGTTTTTGAAAAATCAAGTTCACAGACCCTGGATTTACCTAGGACCAGAGCATAATTAGAGTAACCTCTAAGAATTATCAGAGTGAGCAATAGTATAGAGCATTAGTTGATCAATGATCTTTATAAGAAAAGAGCCAAGGGAGAGAAAGATAAATTATGTCCTCAAGAAGGTAAGTTTAAGTAGCAAGGGACATAGGGGCTATATTTCACTCAAACATCTGAAGCAAAATCTACATCACTGACCTTTGAAACCACAAAATTTGCCATCACAGTTTCTGTATGTTATTTTCAAGGGAGCCAATCATGGATTTTTACAGCTACAGGAACCACCTTGACATTCATCCCATCCAGCGTCTATTATTTCTAAAAACTATGTAGTGGTAAATTAACTCACATAGATAAATGGCCCATCTTCTCTGGTGTCAGGCTTTGAAAAACAGCATGTCCTTTAAGAATGAAATACATACCTGCTTGATTTGGGCCCTCTGCCACGATGAGACTCTAGCTACCCCATTCCTGTGCTTTGTGTGACAAGTTATAATTTTCCCAACAAATCATCTTATTTCATGTTAAAGAGGTAACTGTGAGACCAACACTTTAAAATGAGGAGGATCCATATCCTAAATAACATGAAGAAGGGATAGCCAAAGGACAGTGGGGGTAGAGCATTTTATAGACTATCAGATGTAGTTGCTATGTGAGTTAGTTTTTTCTGAACTGCTTTCTCCCTCCTCTTTTCTCTCTTCTTTCTTCTCCTCTTTTTCTCCTTTTCCTACTTCTCATCCTTTTTCTCCTCCTTTTCCTCGGCCTCTCCCTTCTTATTCTCTTTTTCTTTCTCTTCTGTCCCCTCCTTCTTCTTCTCATTCTATTTGTTCTTTTTCTCTTTCTTCCCCCACTTCCCTTACTTCTTCCCCCAATCCTGCCCCTTTCCCATACTCTGTCTTACTCTTCCCTCCACCCCCAACCATTCAGTGTTACAAGGGATGGTGCACTGGAGAGAGGAGTAGGGTGAGATATTGGAAATGGAAGTGATGTAA